CACAGCCCTCCCTCACTCAAATCCAGTTCACTTGCAGGTCAGTCATGGCATCACCTCCATAATGTCATGGTCCTTTTCGAGAATGAAGGACAAACAATAACAACAACAAACAACTGCTGTGGACTTCTCCATCATGCTCCAGAAACCTCCTCATTTCTGGAAGTTGACTTCAACCCTGGAGCTCACACCTGGGAAATACCTTCTGCCCCTGGGGCTCCTCCTTCTAATTTGAGAGTAGCAGGCTTTCTCCCAGAACCATCATGTAAAGAGAGCACACCAGCTGGCCATTTCTTCGTTTCCCACCTGCCTTTGCTGTTTCTGGACTTCACCATCATGCTCAATCACTTGGTACTTTCTTTCTTCCCTCTCCCCCTCCAGCTTTCTTTTATGTGTTGTCTTCCCCATTAGAATGTAAATTCCAGGGGCAGCTAGGTGGCTAAGTGGATAGAGCACTGGCCCTTGATTCAAGAGGACTTGAGTTCAAATGTGGCCCCAGACACATAACACTAGCTGTGTGACCCTGGGCAAGTCACTTAACCCCATTGTCTAACTGGAAAAAAAAAAGATGTAAACTCTTTAAGTTTGAGGGCAGAGACTGTCTTTTTACTTGTATTTTGTATTCCCTGTGTTTAGCACAGTGCCTGGCATGGTAAGTGCTTAATAAATGCCTGTTGGCTGACTAACCTAAATCACTGGAAAAATATTACTTGCTCATGGATAGCGTGAATCAATATAATAAAAATTACAATATTCCCTAAATTAATTTACTTATTTAATGGGATACCAATCAAACTACCAAAAGATTACAAAACTGGGAAAAATAACAACAAAATTCATATGGTGGTTACAAAAAAGGTCAAGAATCTCAAAAGAAAAAATTTTTAAGACTAATGATGGAAAATGCTATCTACATCCAGAAAAAGAATTATGGAGTCTGAATGCAGATTGAAGCATACTATTTCTCTCTCTCTCTATCTCTCTCTTTCTTTTTTCTTTTTGTGGTTTTCCCCTTTCGTTTTGATTCTTCTTTCACAATGACTAATGTGGAAATATGTTTAATATGAGTGTACATGTAATGTATTGCCTATATCAGATTGCATGCCGTCTTGGGGAGGGGGAAGGGAGGGAAGGGAAAAATTTAGAACTCAAATATAAAAGTGAATGCTGAAAATTAAAACTAAATAATTTCTTTTTTAAAAGAAAGAAGTAATTTTTTAAAAAGGTGGAAATAAAAAGGACTTGCGTATATTGTTTTAGGGCGTGAGTTCTTAACCTGTCTGTGAGCTTGTTTTTAAAATTTTATTTTTATCAGTTGGTCATTCAGTAAACTCTTATTGAGTGTAGAAACTGTGCTAAATGCTGAGCTAAAAACAACAAAAACAAACAAATAAAAGGCAAAAACAGCCCCTGCTCTCAAGGAGCTCACATTCTAATAAGAGAGACAGCATACTGTACATAGTGTAAACTGGCAATAATCAACAGAGGGAAGGCACTAGAATTTAGGGGCACTGGGAAAGGTTTCCCAATGGAAGGTTGGGTTTTAGCTGGGAGTTGAGGGAAAGGCAGAAGTGAGACAGGAAGGCATTTCTAGGCACTGGAGGGTAGACTACGAAAATGCTCAGTTGAGAGACGGAGTGTCTCTTTTGAGGTAACAGAAAGGAAATCAGTGTCACTGGATTAAAGAGTAAGTGGTGTAAGGTGTTAAACTGAGAAAGGTGGAGGGAGAGGAGAGGTTGCGAAGGGCTTTGAACACCAAATAAAAGATTTTACATTTGATGTTGGAGGTGATAGCAAACCACTGGAGTTCATTGAGTATGGTACATGGTCAGATCAGGGTCAGTCAGATCTTCTTTAGGAAGATTTGATAGCTGAGTGGAGGATGGATCAGAGTGGCATTAGACATGAGGCAAGAGGCCACCAGCAGATGGACTATTTCAATAATCCAGGCTTGAGGAGATAGGAATTTGCAACAGGGTGGTGTTAGTGGAAAAGAAGGGATACGCTAGAAATGTTAGGAAGTCAGCAATGCTTGGCAACAGAATGGATATGCAGAGGTGAGAGAGAAAGTGAGGAGTTGAGGATGCCGCAAGGGTTTTGAGCCTGGGTGACTTGGAGGGTGGTGGTACTCTCAATAGTAATTGGGAAGTTGGGAAGAGGGGAGGTTCTGGGGGTGGGGGAGTGGGGAAGATAATGAGTTCAGTTTGGGACATGTTGAGATCAAGATGTCTAAGGGATGTTCAGTTCTAGATGTTCAGTAGTTAGTTGGAGATGCAAAGAATGGTGATCACCGGAGAGGTTAGGGATGGAAAAGGAGATTTGAGAATCATTACCAGGGACATGATAATTGAATTTAATATGACCAGATGAGATTACCAAGTGAAATAATCTAGGGGGGAATAGGATTTCAAGTGAGAGAGAAGAGGGTCAAAGGCTGTACAAGATGGTCAGTGGTAAGCGTAGAATAGTCAGAAAGGAAGAGGACTGAGAAAATGCCATTAGATTTGGCAATTCAAGATTGTTTAGTAACTTTAAAAATAACAGATATTATATATTTAAATAATATAAAAGATAGTATCTGATATATCTCTGAAATATAATTGGTTTCCTTTGTAATACTAAGTATTACATAATACTAAGTATTGTGCATTTTAAAATTTATTTCTGGGGAATTTGTAGGCTTCACTGGCCTGCTAAAGAGGGCCCTAGACAAAAAAGATTTAGGCCACTGGCCTTGGGGTGTTTAGTTTCAAATGAATCATTTTCCCCAGCCAAATTCCTTTGGGTTCTTAAGTAGAGGAGGGACTGTATGAATGCATATAAAGGTATGAATGCAGCCTATGCTTAGCAGGCAAGTACATTGTCTTGCTGACCTCTTTATATTCAATTAAGGTATTAAAATCCCCTTCCCTTTCCAGAGTGGATTATTATAGCTCTGTAGGTGTTTCCCATGCTCCTTTCCATTTCAATGTCTCTTTTAGCTGTTGCTTACTTTCCACTTTTGCAGTAGCCTCACTGGGTCACCCAAGCTTACACAAATATAAATAGAAACATGCAAATAATATGTCTACATCTGGGAGAGGTTCCTACTGCAGCCACACCTTGGCTTTTGTGGTTATTCCAGACCTTTGGCAAAGTGAAATACCTCTTCCTCCTACAATCCATACTATCATTTTAAATCCAGTTATATCAGTCTCAAAGTCGTTTCAAACCAAACTGTAGTAGGCAACATTTGGGTTACATACCGTTCTGATAGTAAGCTATAGATCTGAAGAAGATAAGAATAGAAAGAAGCACTGATTGGATCAGTTGAAAACAGATATAAAGGATTGTGTAGTTAAGTAGAGGACCTGAGTTCAAATTCTGTTTCTGCTGCTTACTACCTGACTGACTTTAGGCAAATTACTTAAACTCTCTGGGCATCAGCTTCCACATCTGTAAAATGAAGATTAGATGACACGTGTAAATCATGTGATAGATACTGTGATTACTTCAAGCATCTGAAGGGCTTTCATATAAAGACTTTGTTCTGCTTGGCCTCAAGAGACAATAGAGTGGAATTTTAAAAGGGGCAGATTCAGGCTTGATATAAGGAAAACCTTCCTAACAATTAGATATATTCCAAAGTGGAATGGGCCTTTGTGGAGGCTTTCAAGCCAAGAAGGAATGATCACTTGTCCTATATCCTGTCAAGGGGATTTGCCCCGGTGGAAATGTCCTGAATTGTCACAAATTTGTTGGATTCTGTTATGTGCAGGGATGGAGATCTGCTCTCGTGCCATGAATAGGTTCATACTGTTAGAACCACCAGCTTATCTGTAATTCAGACGTCACCAAGAATTGCACAACCCTGCTGCCCCCTCAAACAAACAAAAAAACAAACAAAAAGACAAACTCCAACCAACCCTCAAACACAAATGCTTACAAACTACGCCCTTTTAGGTTCATCACTTTCTCCAGCAAGCATTTTATGGATTGCTTTCTGTATGAAAACCGGAGAAAGAAACCTAACGCATTTGTAAGCCAGCTTCGATTGATCTGTTCACTCATTTATGGATCTATTTTCATCTTCAACTCTTCCCAAAGGGAACAAAGTCTCAACCTAATAATTGTATTCCTTGTTTCTCCCTTACCCAAGCATGTTTGTCATAAATTGAAGTCCACAGGTTCATTAGACGGGGGGGGAGGGGGGAGCAGTATAAAGGAAGGGTAATTAGCTCATATTTATCGTGTTCTTTCATTCTTTGCAAACTTTTAAAAAAATTAAGTATTGGGTATTAAGTCTCCATTGTTTTTCCAGAGTGTTTTCAGCGCGAATTAACTCATTTGACGTTCACTATAATTCAGAGCTACTAGACCCAAGGGGTAGGTAAGAGAAGTATCATTAGCCCCATTTCACAGAGGAAGAAACTGACGCCGCCTTGCCCTGGCCCGCGGCCTCCCTGGGCATCGGAGGCGTTCTCTAGCCCCGCCTGCTCTGTCCGCGCCCTTCTCACGCCGGGGGTGGTGGCTGTGGTGTTTCCATGGAAACGGAGGTGGCCTCTCCTTCCCCTTCTCCTGCAGTCCCCATGAAGGTTCGCTCCGGCTTTACTCGCCCTCCCAGGAACTAGTGGGCCGCCCCTCCAGCTACACAAGCCCGGGCCCCTTCTCGGAGAGGGAAGGAAAGGGGAATCCGGACAAGAATCCCAGTGCTCCCGATTCCGAAACGAACAATCCAGCCCCTTTCTTCACGTCAGACCGGTACGCACTCGGTCAAATGGGAGGGGAGCAAGTGGAGGGGAGGGGAGAAGGAGCCTACGCTGATTGGCCCTCTCTCCTTCGTCCCGCCCCCCAGGTTCTCGGCCCTCCCCTTCGCCCTGCGTGCCGCCCCCCCCACCGCCCCGGGTGGCCGGAGTCCTAGTTTAAGTGCACAGGCGGCGGCCCGGGCGAGCGCGAGGGAGGGAGGGAGGGAGGGGCTGGAGCCGCCTTTCTCCTCCCCGCGGCTTCCCATCCTTAAAGTGAGAGCCCAGGCCCTGGGCCACTGCAGATCGCTCGGGAGGGCTGGCTGTGCGGAGGTGGTGAGCTCGAGCTCCTGCGGGCGGAACGCGGCCCGGGCCGGCGGCGGGGCTCCGGACTCTTGAGGCGCCATTGCTTTGGTGGGGAGCGCTGGCCCTGTCCCCGGCAGGAGCCCTCACTCGGGGGACGCCTTCAGTGCCCGGCCCCGAGCCGCGAAGGCTGCTGATTGTCCGGCGCCGCTGACCGCGCCGCTTCCCGTCCCTCCTGGCCGCCCCTCCGTGCGGCCGCCCCGGGGCCGAGACCATGTTCGACAAGACCCGCTTGCCGTTCGTGGCCCTGGACGTGGTCTGCTTGTTTCTGGGTATGTATGTGCCGGCGCCAGCCCGCCTGCTCTGCCTTGCTCTGCCCCTGTCTGTGCTGCTCCGGCTACGCTTGTCCTGCGGTCGGGGGAGCGTGTGTGCGTGTGCGTGTGTGCGTGTGTGTGTGTGTATATGTATGTGTGCGCGCGCCTTCGTGCATCCAGATGGGCGTGTGTGTGCATATTAGGAAGTGTGAAGTAGGAACTCCTGTGTCGAGGAGTGTGCAAATGAATTGCATGCATTTTGGGATGAGGGTGCCTGAGTGTGCGTGTCTATGTGCGCCTGCCTTCGTGCTTCGGGATGGGCGTGTGTATGTGTATTAGGAGGTGTGAAGTATGAATTCGTGTTGGGGAATGTGTAAATAGATTGAATGCCTTTTAGGATGCGGATGCATGTGTGTGCTTGTCTGTGCGCGCGTACATTGGTGCATCGGAATGGGCGTGAATGTATTGGGAAGTGTTAAGTATGAGCTCCTCTGTTGGGGAGTGTGTAAATGGATTGCATACATTTTGGGATGCGAGTGCATGTGTGTGTGAATATGAACTCGCACTCGTGTATTGGTGTGGACATTTGTGTTGGGGAGCGTGTAAGTGTATTGCACGCGTTTCAGGATGCGGGTGCACGTGTACGTGTACGCGCGCGCGCCCTCGTGCATCGGAGTGAGAAGGTGTGTGTATGGAGAAGTGTTAAGCATGAACGTTTGTGTTGGTGAGTGTGTAAAATGTGTTGCAAGCATTTTAGGATGCGAATGTGTGGGCTCCTTCGTGGATCGTTATGTGTGCATTGGGAGATGTTATAAGTATGAACTCTTGTATTGGGGAGTGTGTAAATGTATTGCATGCATTTTAGAATGCGGGTAACATGGGCATACTTGAGTGTTTGAGTAACTCACAGATTCTCTACGCAGCTTCTGTATGTATGGGGCTGTCGCTGCTTCTGTGCTTGTAAATACCTTCTGCCCTGGATCCCTGTCCCTGGCTGTTACTCTGCAGTCTGTGCTCTCTCATCTCAGAACCTTCCTTCTACCTCCCTCTCCCACCCCAAGATGGGGATATGGCTACAACCACTTTGGCACTAATCAATCACCTTATTTTACCTCTGCCTCCCATTTCCTCTGGTCCACTCTTCCTACTCCTCTTAAACAAGGCAGGATGATCAATCATTCAGAGGGCTCACCCCTCCTTTTTTTTGCTGGAGAAAACTGGTCACTGGCTAATCAGATTCAGTCCACAAAAACAGTGGAGAGTTAATGTTGTGGGAACTCTCAAGTAACAAACAGAAGGGCCTGATTCATCTCATTTCTGGAAAGAATTTCCTCTCTTAGACATTATTTCTGAAAATGTAGAATTTTCTGAACTAAGCTATGGGTCAGGGTGTAGTTTCCAGGCTCCAAGTGTGAGTGAGGGACAGAGGTGGTGGTTGGTTCCTGTGTGTCCCAGACCTGCTGTCTCCTCTTTGCAGATCCGGGCGTGGGGTAGCTTTCCATCTCTTTTCTGACAGCTCACAAGGAGCTGTATAAATTCTTTGGCTGGGCGTTGTGCCTTCCTGATGGAAGTGTTATGTTCAGGAGATTGCCTGCTCTTCCTCTTTGTTGATCTGTCAGAGCTAAAATTAGCTGGATTGTGGATATGGGAAGGTGTTGAGTGGGTGGCATAAACCTTTTTAAATGTTATAGTGAGGAATTGTTAATAAATACAAAACATCCACAATAAAGCAGTTGTGTTGTGTTGTGAATTCTGTAGCTGGAAAAGGCAAACCTTGTTTGAGGCTTTTGGGTGTGTATGGATGGATGGATGGCGTTCTTAAGGGTTATAAAAGTAGTGCTAATGACTTAAGGTTGGAAGGAGAATTAGTTCTCCAGCTGGGACTCAAGTAGATAGGTTGTGCAGCGTTCCTGGCTCCTCACTGGGCAAGATATTTAAAATGGGAATATGTTGACTGTGCAAAGAAATGTAGGGAGATGAGAAAGACAATTAAGATGTGGTCCATGACTCCATGGAATTTTTAATTAAAATCTGAAGATTTGGTATCTGAGATTTCAGGTGCAGGATGTTAAACAGTTCTCAAAAACAAAATTGTGTTGGTGATGGCTTTCACTTCATCAGTTTATGAGCATAGGATGATTAAATATGTTTTAGAAAAATATCATTTTTCCGCTTAGAAGATATGCTACTTACTGGGTTTTGCATGCCATTGTTTCCAAAATTGTTTGCATGTCCCATTTAAAGTAATTTGGAGTATTTCTGAGGAAAGGGCAGGTAAATGAACACCGTATGGCGTTTTGCTGTGGCTAATGGTAAAATTATTTTGCATTCCCAGAGAACAAACCAGCTGATAGCAGGAGACTGGAACCTCAGAATCATGTTGGGTATAGGAGAAGCTGTCTTGAGATTAAAAACTGTCCTATGTAGTATACAAAGGCAGGATAGAAAATTGTATTTAAAAAACAAAACAAAACAAAAAAACCTCCCAGTCTTTAAGTACAGGATGATTTCTGAATTGTTTCTAATGATATAACTTTTCCTTTAGCTCCTTTAAATGACTAACAAAGATCACACGGTATTTATTCTAAATGAATCTGTGTTTTTTAAATCTGAAGGGTAAGGATCATGACTTTGCATGTCCTTCATGATGTTGCTTTGCATATAGTCGGCACTTAAAAATCTTTTAGATTCAGTTGAATGTAGTACTCTTCTCCTGAATTTTACATGATTGCTAAGCTTGTTGAAGGAAGATGTGATCATTGTGTATGACATTGTTAGGTGGGGTTTTCCATTCCTAAATCCTGAGTATATTAACTGCTTCATAGTGGGATTTTCTATGATAGTCCTGCTGAGGTTAACTTGTTACCCCTCTGGGATGTGATAGATACTTGGGAGACAGTGGTAAATTTTTAGATTGTTGTGTTGAATTCCTTGTTCCATGAAAGTCTTTTTCTTTCCTTCCTCCTCGTTGGTTGATGTTTTGTGTGACTGTGCATAATGCCATATAAACATTGCAGAGCCTCCAGTCTCTTAAACAACGTACTAGAAAATCAGCCTGTCAGAAAGTAAACCATTTTCTCATCCTGAATCAAAGGCATGATATGTGTCTAATGTTTAAATTGTGCACTATTTAACATTGAATAGTGTTTTATCTGAAGGAGCAACATCGAGTAATTCCAAATTCTTTCAAGTCTGCCCTGTTACAGGTAAATGGGCTTGTTAAAAATGATCTCAAATAGAATAGGAAAGTAGTAGAGAAGGTATTTTGCTTTTTTTTTATTTAAAGCATCTTGTTCTGACAGAACCTCATATTGTAGGTGTGAGACAGTGAGGATTGGAAACAGGGAGAACTATTGCAGGAACCTGTTGTCTCAGAGCACATACAGGAGTATATCTTTTTAAAAAAAATTAGGTGTTGATGACTAGAAGAGTCAGGAAAACAATAAAAATTTCCTTTACATTTGCTTTTGGTCCCATTAGCCTAACTTAGACCAGAGAAAAGTCTCTTAGGTTTTCAAGACTTGCATTAGTGTTAGAACTCTAGAACATGGGAATATTTGAGTATTGGTCATATTTTGAATGTATTGTAGACTTGGATCTGGAAGGGTGCCTTAGATGTCACTTAGTTGTAGAACCGTCATTTTATAGTTGAAGAAACTGAGGCACAGAGTTTAAATGACATGCCCAAAGTAACATGGGTCTTAAATAGCAGAGCTCTAATGCGGGTTGTGTGACCCTAAACTCTTTGCATTACGTCGTATCTAAATATCACTTAATTTAAATGAACCCTCACATCTTACAGATGAGGAAACTGAGGCCTCAGGTCACTGACACTTATACAAGGTCACCCAGGTAGTTAAAGAAAAGTATATTTTTAGTTATAGGGAAAGATGCTAATTATTTCAAAACTTTTCACTAACAGGAAAAATTTTATGAAGTTTCTCAAAGAAAGACATTGGTTATTTTTCACTCAGCTCTGAGGAGTAGATGTGAAAATCCAGCCTGGAGGCCTGAGGCCTTGTGGATCTGGGGCAGCTTCTGGGCACCAGATAGCATCTTCTTGAAGCAAGTTCAGGGGACATTTGCATTCTACTCTAGTATTTTCTACATTTCACTAGTCTTCAAATTTTCCTGATCTCTAATCCCCCAACCTAAAGTTAGAGCTTCTGAGAACCTTTCTGGACATGGAGTTTGCTTGTTTCCTCATTTCAGAGATCTTTTATACTCAAATCTCTAATTTCTGTATCTTCTGCCAGAGATATAGTTACTGGACTTTTAGTTTTGGTGTCTGATCCCTCTTTTCTTTATACTCCATACTGCAGACCATAAGTGTCTCTTGCAGTTTATTTGTAAGGGGGAAAATATATACATACACACACACACACATACACACACACACACACACATATATGTATATACACATACACACACACATATATATATACACACACCCACCCACACACATATACAGATAGATATATATGTATCAGGAAGCTATGCTAATACTTTCATTTCTGGCATGGATTATATATTTATGCCATTTCCAAAAGTCAGATCTCATCTTATTGATAGCTTACCAAAAGTAATACTATCTTTCCCATTAACAGGGTTTTCTTTTTTTTAGGGGGGGACATGAACAAACATTGTCAGATGGGTTAAGCATATAAGAAATGCCATGGTGCATCTAACTGATGGTTCTGGTCCCAAGTTTTGTTTTTGTTTTTGTTTTTACTAATCTGAATGTGTAATTTTTTTAGGTAGGGAAATCCTGCTGAGGAGACTGTACCAATACATTTTGGCAACTGTTCTGCAACTTAGTGTCTTCATTTCCTGAGGCATTGTGATACCTGCTCAGTGATTTGTACAGGGTCATGCAGTTAGTTTGTGTCAGTATGACAGGAAACAGTTGAGCACCTACTGTGTGTCAGACCTCATGTCAAGTTCTGGGGGTATGAAGAAAGGCAAAAGGTGATCCCTGCTCTTCAGAAGCTCACAGTGTGTTGGGGGAGACAATATGC